TACAGGTGTGAGTCACCGCACCCAGCCTCATAGTATACCTTTTAAAATAAGTTTTCTATACTGATATTCTCTGTTGAAAATTGTTGACTTCATATACTCTAGTTCCATGTCCATGGTTTCCTTGGTTCTTTGTGCTTATTAAGAAAGTTGACTTAAAGTCTTTGTGCCTGGGCTTCCTCATGGACAGGTGGGAGAGAGGCAACTTGACGGTAGCCAGGCAGTCTGAAATGCTACAGTACGCTCTCACCACTAAGCAGCAGCTTATTTCTTCACCAAGTCTTCCAGTTTTGATAAGATTCCAGAATTTTACAAAAGTTGATTCTGACAGTTTCTGCCAGCTCATTAGTTGCTTTGGGGAAGGACAGAGGCCTGGATTTCCCTACTCCATATGTATGTATGTATGTATTTATTTATTTGGAGACGGAGTCTTGTTCTGTTGCCCAGGCTGGAGTACAGTGGCATGATCTCGGCTCATTGCAACCTCCACCTCCCAGATTCAAGCAATTCTCCTGCCTCAGCCTCCTGAGTAGCTGGGACTACAGGTGCATGCCACCACACCCAGCTAATTTTTGTAATTTTTGTAGAGACGGAGTTTCACCATGTTAGCCAGGATGGTCTCAATCTCCTGACCTCATGATCCACCCGCCTCAGCCCCCTAAAGTGCTGGGATTACAGGCATGAGTCAACACGCCCAGCCCTTACTCTGTAATTTTTTATGATACATGTTTCATTTTTGTTAAATTGTATGACCTCATGTATATAAAATATCTAGAAGAGGTAAATCCATAGGACAAAAAGCAGATCAGTGGGAGGGGCTGGGAGAGGAGCATATGGGGAATAACTCCTAATGGGTATGAGGTTTCTTTTGGCAGTGATGAAAACATGATGGTGAAGGTCACTCAATTTTGTTAATATAATAAAATCTTCTGAATAGTACATTTTAAATGGTTGGGTTGTATGGTATGTGAATTATATCTCAACAAAAAAAATTTTTTTAAGTTTTAATTCCAATGTGGAGTGAACCCCTAAACAAACCAAATATCTTATACAAATTGATGCTATGCTGTAGGTATCATTGTTCCTAACCCAACAAAGTCTCCTGCACAAAACAAACATTTAAAAAAAATTTAAGATTCAATGAAGGGGTTATGAAAGGAAAATAAATCTTGGGGCCCCCAAATTACTAAACTAAAGGGAAAAGTCAAGCTGGGAACTGCTTAGGGCCAACCTGCCTCCCATTCTATTCAAAGTCACCTCTCTGCTCACTGACATAGATGCATATCCGATTGCCTCGCTTGGAGAGGCTAATCAGAAACTCAAAAGAATGTAACTGTCCCTTTCACCTATCTATAACCTGGAACCCCTCTTCAAGTCTTCCAGCCCTTGCTTCAAGTTGTTCCACCTTTCCAGACTGAACCAATATACTTCTTACATACATTGATTGATATCTCATGTCTCCCTAAAATGTATAAAACTAAGATGTATCCCAACCGCCTTGGGCACATGTTGTCAGGACTTCCTGAGGCTGTCATGGGAGCATCCTGAGAACTAAGTTCTGATTCTTTCTATCTTGCTCATATTCCTATCTAAGGGGTCTGGGGAGTCATGCCCTACAAACCATATATTCTCATCAGATGGGTTTTATTTAACTCTATATATCGTGGCTTACTTTCCAATCTGACTCTGGCATAACATTATGAGACAAGGAAAAAAATCAAAATATTTAACCCCAAAATATATTTCCTCGCCATACCTTACAATTGCTCTGCAAAGTCTCTTGTGGGAAAAATCCACATCCTATAGAGAATCCCCTTCCCCTTTGTTTACCTTTCTTTCTTCCTTCCCAGATCCAGGAGATAATCAGCTAAGAGCCAGGCACCCTTTTAGGTCCCATAAGAAACATTTTACAACCTGCTTCCTCTCTGAAGTCTGCTATCTGAGAGCTTCTTCTGCACAACAAAACTTGGTCTCCACAATCCTTTATCGTAACCTGAACTTTCCTTCCTATCGATCCCAGGTCTTTAGATAAACTCAACCAACTGTCAACCAGAAAATGTTTAAATTTACCTATAGCCTGGAAACCCCTGCTTTGAGTTGTCCCGCCTTTCTGAACCAAACCAACGTATTTCTTAAGTGTATTTGATTGTTGTCTCATGCCTCCCTAAAATACATAAAACCAAGCTGTATACCGACCACCCTGGGCACATGTTCTCAGGACCTCCTGAGGGCTGTGTTATGGGCCACGGTCACACATATTTGTTTTAGAAAACTCTAAAAATATTTTACATAGTTTGACTCTTTTCATTGACAATCCTCAACCTTGGCAAAATAAACTTTCTAAATTAACTGAGACCTGTCTCAGGTTTTCTGGGTTCACAGGGTGCTAATTAGTTTCTTATTAGCTCACATACTGTGCTTACCAGCTCCCTTTCTGTGTTACAACTATAATGCATGTTACAATTTCTCCTCTCAGGCAAAAGCCCTTAGGAAAAATGCCTAAATGTCATGTTACATATAGGTCAGGTTCTTCTACGTAATTCAGATCTGATGCATAACAAAGTACCAGGAAATGCAATTTTAAAAATCGTAAAATACATAATTTCAATGCTTAAAATAACATGCATCATAACAAACAAACCTCTTTCCCTTTACGCAATGAGTAGTTTTTGACTAAGAGACACTATTCTAGGTACGGAAGCTTTGTCTTAAAAAGTTAAGCCTCTTAGATGCTTATATCTTTTCATCAATTTTTCACAAATGTTAGATATAGTGAACTCCAAGTTTCTCTTCAAAGAATCAGTATGTCAGTATGTTCAGCTCTCTTATTCTTTGATTCTCCATTTTAAAGTTTAACTTCCTGGTTCTCTTCGCCCCCTTGCCTCTAGTTTCAGTAAACAACTTTCCCACCAGTTATAATCAGTAGTTCACATCTGTTCCCCTGGTCACCTGCTTTGACCTGAGTCACCCCTGGTCACCTGCTCTGGCCTGAATCATCCTGAGTAACTGCCCTTCCCGCCAAACTACCCACCCAACCACTCTGGCTGGTACTCCTGCTCTCTTTAAAATAGCGAATCAGAAATAGCTTAGACTGTGCAGTCCAACCCTAGCCAACAGGGGAACAACACAGCAGTAGGGGCTACCTGCGTCAGGAATAGGAACCCCTTCCCCTCCCTTGTCCAGGTGTGCTCTCACCGTTACTCCATTCGCGAGTTGTACCCTTCTATAGAAGGAAAAATTACCTTGCTGAGAAAATCAAATTTACATTTGAGTGCTATTTCTTTGCAGCACTGAGGAACAAGCATTTTGTTTCTAACACAAAGAAATGGCTAAAACAAACAAACAAAAATGTATATTGAGAGAAGTTGGTCACAGACAGATAAGGTTTAGGGCCTGCTAAAGATTCCACAGGAAGTGAAAGAGTAAGGACAGAAAACATAAGCCAGTATTCCATGTTTGGCAAGAATGTTCCTCTGTTAATATACACAGTAAAGTGCAACATACAGAAGAAAAAAGTCTCCTATTACCTTGGAAAAAAATCCTGAACTGCCTGTGCTACATACATATTTTCTCTCAAAGGTGTTACAGATTTCTCTCAAAAGTGTAACAAATAAGGGACTCACAGCTCTCAGTGACAGTCTGATAAAATCAAAACCATTTTTAATGTATCCAGAAACATGCAAATATCCACCATGAGCCCCGGAATATGATTACATACAGATCTCTCAAAAACATTCTACACTTGACATATTTATAGCACAAAGCAAAACTGAATTAGCAAAAATGACAATAAATATTTTGTTAATTTATAAAATCAATACAAAAATGCCCTGCCTGACAGCCATTTCTGTTGTCAGTGTTAATTCTATTCAGTTACATCAAGTTCAAATGCTGCCTAGCCGGTGGGGAATAATCTATTTTCAGAGAAGGAGGCAATCTGGACCTTTAAGCATAATCTTCCAATTTTCAAGTATAGCAAACCCACTTTATAAAGTACAGGCCTGCAAAACTAAATCTATCCATGCACCACACAGAAATAGTAGATTAGAGCCTTCACCTATACACAGAAGACTAATGTAGCCAAAGACCACCGGCTGTTGAAAGCTTCCCACAGGGTGAGGGATAGCCTGCCAGTCACCTCGTCTCTGAGAAGGGATAGGATTCCTGCCCCATTTTCCTTCCTTTTTTTTTTTTTTTTTTTTTTGCAATGGAGTCTCGCTCGGTCGCCCAGGTTAGAGTGCAATGGCACAATCTCAGCTCATGGCAACCTCCGCCTTCCGAGCTCAAGCGATTCTCTTGCCTTAACCTCCTCAGTATCTGGGATTACAGGCATGCGCCACTGTCCTGTGCCATTTTCACAGCAGTCTCTTCCCTTAACTCTTCAGCTTGCAAAACCCTTCAGGGGCAAATCAGACAATTTGTCTTTTGAGAGCCTTCTTATATATATATATATTTTTTGAGATGGCGTCTCACTCTATTACCCAGGCTGGAGTGCAGTGGCGTGATCTCGGCTCACTGCAACCTCAGCCTCCTGGGTTCAAGTGATTCTCCTGCCTCAGTCTCCCTAGTAGCTGGGATTACAGGCACCCACCACCATGCCCAGCTAATTTTGTGCTTTTAGTAGAGACGGGGTTTTACCATGTTGGCCAGGCTGCTCTCGAACTCCTGACCTCAGGTGATCTGCCCACCTCAGCCTCCCAAAGTACTGGGTTTACAGGTGTGAGCCACTATACTTTTGTAGGCCTTCGGAGTCACTGGGCACGTAAGCGTGGATGTCCTGTATTTTTATTTTAACTGCCCAGGATGTGATGGTCACAGTTAACTCCTTGGTAAATACCTGAGTCATAAATGTAGCAAATAAGACTGAGAGAAAGCTCCAGAAAAGATGAGTCACACCTATAAGATCAAGATAGGCTTTGCCTAATACCAAGAAGGCAGCCTTCAGGACAAGAAACCATTATGAATCCTTCCTGCAATAGCTAGGAAGAAATTTCAGGACTTACCTCCTCCCTGGTTGTCAGGAGTCCTGGCGCCATCTCCCTGCTCTCTGGAGTGCTCTTCCTAGAGGAGAGGCAAGTCGCAGAGGCAAATCTGGGGAAAGAGATAAGAAGTGAGAGAGGTACTCGGGAAGAACACCCTTCACACTCTGTCCAGCCTCCCAATTCAGCAGGGAGTAGGGGAACAGGGAAGCAACAAAGGCAGGTTGCAGAGGGCATTAGTGAAGCCCATTCTTAGCCAGTGTCTTTCAAATAAAGCCCACAGAGCTGAGCCAGCAACAGGCTCACATCCAAACTCTAGTTGGGGAAGGGAGTCCCCATCTTCCAGCAGCTGGCTGAGACTTTATGTGGACTCCATTAAAAGAAAAAGGCCTCAGAGTGCCCTCAAATGAGCATTCATGTTGAAAAATAAAAAGCCTCAACATACTGAAAACAAAAGCATCCTATTCACATTTACCCTGAGGCCAAAGGACAGGTTCCAGGAAGTCCAAAGCAGAAGTTCCTGGTTTTGAGGGAGACATGAAGCAGGGTGGAGGCCATAACCTGAGTATCGTATATGACCCTGGCTGCACCCTTCCCTCCACTCACGTATCAAAAATTAGGTACCAAAATTTGAAATGTGACTTGGAATTTAGGAACAGGCAATCAGTAATTGACCTAGTTTTATAACAAGTCAATTTCATGAAGAGATTTTTAAGAAGGGAGAAGTAGGGGTAGATTTTTTTCCTAATGAAAATATTTCTTAAGAGATAAATCATTCTTCAGATGACAAGTATAGGTCTTGACTGGATCCTGTCTTGCACAAATGAAGAGAAAAGCGGACTGTAAGAGACAATTCAATATGTGATGAGAATTATTGTTAATAGTGTTAGGTTTTGAGGACAAAGCTCTGATTTTTTTTTTTTAATCTTGCCCAAATTCCTACCTAAGGGGCCTGGGGATTCGTGCCCTACAAACCATAAATTCTTGTCTGATGAGTTTTATTTAACCCTGTATATCATGACTGACTTTCCAATCTGACTGTGGCATAACAAGGAAGAAAATCAAAATGTCTTACCCCAAAATACATTTCCTTGCCATACCTTGAAATTGCCCTACAAAGTCTCTTGTGGGAAAAATCCACATTCTATAGAGAATCCGCTTTCCCCTTTGTTTGCCTTCCTTCCTTCCCAGATACAAGAGATAATCAACTAAGAGCCAGGCACCCTTTTAAGTCTGATAAGAAATATTTTACAACCTGCTCTCTCTGAAGTCTGCTATCTGAGAGCTTCCTCTGCACAATAAAACTTGGTCTCCACAATCCTTTATCTTAACCTGACCATTTCCTTTCTGTTGATCTCAGGTCTTCAGATAAACTCAACCAATTGTCAACTGTCAACCAGAAAATGTTTAAATTTACCTATAGCCTGGAATCTGCCCCTCCTACTTTGAGTTGTCCTGCCTTTCTGAACCAAATCAATGTAGCTAGATTTGATTGATGTTTCATGCCTCCCTAAAATATATAAAACCAAGCTGCACCCCGACCACCCTGGGTGTTCTCAGGATCGCCTGAGGGCTGTGTCACGGGACATGACCATTCATATTTGGCTCAGAATAAATCTCTAAAAATATTTTACAGAGTTTGACTCTTTTTGTCAACAGTATGATCATGATATTCTGGATATGGAGGGAACGGTCATTAAGAAATGATACAAACGTTCTGTGGTGTGAACTAACATGTTTGCAATTTTTTAAAAATGCAACACTTTCAACAAATGAATAGCATTAAAAATACAGTAGAAAAAATACAATAGAAAGAGCTCTTATAGATCTTACAGAATAAAAAGAGAATTAAGGAGACACCAATCGACCAGGCGTAATGGCTCACGCCTATAATCCCAGCACTTTGGGAGGCCAAGGATGGATCACGAGGTCAGAAGTTCAAGACAAGCCTGACGAAGATGGTGAAACCCCGTTTCTACAAAAAATACAAAAATTGGCCAGGAACAGTGGCTCACACCTGTAATTCCAGCACTTTAGGAGGCCGAGGCGGGCGAATCACGAGGTCAGGAGTTCAAGACTAGCCTGGTCAACATGGTGAAATCCCATCTCTATTAAAAATACAAAAAATTTGCTGAGTGTGGTGGTGGGCGCCCATAATCCCAGCTACTCCGGAGGTTAAGGCAGAAGAATCGCTTGAACCCGGGAGGTGGAGGTTGCAGCGAGCCGAGATCCCCCCATAGCACTCCAGCCTGGGCAATAGAGCAAGACTCCGCCTCAAAGAAGAAAAAAAGAGAGACCCCAATCAACTGTAATGTGTGAACCTTGTTTAGACATTTTTGAGGCAACTGAGGAAACCTGCACATGATTAGATATTAGATAACATTTTAAAAATATTATCATAGATAACATAAAAAAATTAAGTTCAATACAATTTATACTGTTTATAAGTTAGGTTAAAAATGGTCTAACCAATGTCCTCTGCAAATAATTGTGGCTATGCTTAAATAAAAATGAAGTGCAGGCCAGGTGTAGTGGCTCACGCCTGCTGTCCCAGCACTTTGAGTGGCTGAGGCAGGAGGATCACTTGAGGTCAGGAGTTCAAGGCCAGCCTGGCCAACATGGTGAAACTCCGTCTCTACTAAAAATACAAAAATTAGCTGGGTATGGTAGCGGGCAGCCAGCTACTTGGGAGGCTGAGGCAGAAGAATCACTTGAACCCGGGAGGTAGAGGTTGCAGTGAGCCGAGATTGCACCACTGCATTCCAGCCTAAGGGACACAGTGAGACTGTCTCAAAAAAAAAAAAAAAAAAAAAAAAAGAGAGAGAGAGAGTGCAGAGTCTACAGCTGACATTACATTTAATGGTGAGGAACTAGATGCTTTCCCGCTAAGATCAGGAACAAAAGCAAGGATGCCCCCTTTCATGACTCCTATTCTACATCACTGATAAGACAATGAAAAGACAAGCCACGGACTGAGAGAAAATACAGGAAGAAAAATGACAGAATAGGAAAAAGAGACATAGACCAATGCATAATCATAGTTAAGAAAATTTATTACACCTCACTCAGTTAATGGAAAAGTGAATTGACAATAAGTCAGGAAATGGATGATCTGGAAAACACTACTGGACAGTATTGATCTAATGGATATTTACAGAACACCAAACCCAACAAGTACAGAATACATATCCTTTATAGGTGTACACAAAACATTCACCAAAGTAGATGAAATACTGAGGCATATAAAACAAATCTCCAATTTCAAAGGACTAAAACTGAAAGAGTACAGTCCCCAACTTACAATGGTTCTACTCACAATTTTTCGATGTCTTAATGGTGTGAAAGCAATACACATTCAGTAGAAACCATACTTCTTTTTAATTTAGTTTCTGAGAGGTAGTCTCACTTTGACACCAAGGCTGGATGCAGTGGCACAGTCACAGCTCACTGCAGCCCCAACTTCCTGGGCCAAGCAATCCTCTTGCCTCAGCCTCCAGAGTAGCTGTGGCTACAGATGTGTGCCACCATGCCTGGCTTTTTCTTTTTTTTTCATAGAGATGGGGTCTCACTGTTTGTCCAGGCTGGTCTAGAACTTCTGGCCTCAAGCGATCCTCCTGCCTCAGCCTCCCAAAGCACTGGGATTACAAGGCATAAAGCACCATGCGCACTCAAAACCCTACTTCAAATTCGGAATTTTAATCTTTTCCAGGGCTTACAATGCTGGGCAGCAGCAGCAAGCTACAGCTCCAAGGCAGCCACACAAGCATGAAGGTAAACAACCCATACTCTATAGCGGACCGTGTTGCCAGATGATTTTGTCCTTTCTGAACCAAACTAATGTATTTCTTAAGTGTATTTGATTGATGTCTCATGCCTCCCTGAAATATACAAAACCAAGCTGTGCCCTAACCACCGTGGGCACATGACTGCCCAATTGTAGGCTAATGTAAGTATTCTGAGCAAATTTAAGGTAGACTAGGTTACGCTCTGATGTGCAGCAGGTTGGTTAGGTGTATTAAATGCATTGTCAACTTAAACAATACTTTCAATTTACAGTGGGTTTATTGGGACATAATCCCATTGTAAGTCAAGGAACATCTGTATATTATTTGCCCAAGATGGAACTAAAGCAGAAATCAGTAACAATAAGATATTTTTTAAAACCTTGATAATTAGAAATCAAGCAGCCCTTATCTAAAGGAGACATGAATCAAAGAAGAAATTCCAAGGGATACGAGAAAATATTTTGAACTCAGTGATTCTAATAAACCTATTAATACATATCACAACTTACCAAATTTGTGACTTGGAGCTGTTCCAGGCTGAATTATTCCTTGTCTCCCATATTCATATATTGACATCCTAATCCCCAGTACCTTAGAATGTCACTGTCTTTGGAGGTAAGGTCTTTAAAGAGATAACTAAGTAAAAATGAGGTCATTAGAATGGGCCCTAATCCAATATAACTGGTGTCATTATAAGAAAAAATTCTGGCCAGGCGCGGTGGCTCACGCCTATAATCCCAGCACTTTGGGCGGCCGAGGCGGGTGGATCACAAGGTCAGGAGATAAAGACCATCTTGGCCAACATGGTGAAACCCCATCTCCACTAAAAAATACAAAAAAAACTAGCCGGGCGAGGTGGCGGGCACCTGTAGTCCCAGCTACTCGGGAGGCTGAGGCGGGAGAATGGCGTGAACCCGGGAGGCGGAGCTTGCAGTGAGCTGAGATCCGGCCACTGCACTCCAGCCTGGGTGAGAGCGAGACTCCGTGTCAAAAAAAAAAAAAAAAGAAGCAGCAGCAGCAAAAATTTGGACATAAAAAGTTCCAGAGGGAAGACCATGTGAAGACACAGGGAGGAGATGACCAGCTACAAGCCAAGGAGAAAGGCCTCAGAAGAAACCAACCCTGCTGAAACCTTGATCTTGGATTCTATCTTCCAGAATTGTGAAGAAAAAATTTCTGTTTACAGCCACCCATTCTGTGGTACTTCGTAATGGCAGCCCTAGCAAATGAATAGGCAGTTCTGAGAAGGAAAGTTATAGGTTTAAATAAATCTGCTTTAAAAAAGAGAAGTCTTAATTAAAAATAACTCAGCTCCCATCTTAAGAAGCTAAAAAAAGAAAAGCAAAAATAACCCCAAATAAGAAGGAAATAATAAAGAGGAAACTATAATGAAATAGAAATGAAATTATAGAGAATTAAAAAGTCAAAGGGTGTTTGCAAAAAATATTAAAATTGCTAAACCCTAGACCTGAAACTATAAAACTCCTAAAAAAAAAAAATAGGAAAAAGCTTCATGAAATTGGTCTTGATAATGATTTCTGGAATATGACACTAAAAGAACAAGCGACAAATATAAAATAGACAAACGGGACTACATCAAACTTAACAACTTCTTTGCAGCAAAGAAGAGAGCCAACACAGTGATAAGGCAACTTACAGAATGAGAGAAAATATTTGCAAACCATATATCAAATAAGGAGCTAAAATGTAGAATATATAAAGAACTTCTACAACTCAGTAACAAACAACTCAATTAAAAATGGGTAAAGGACTTGAATAGACAATTCTCTAAAGAAGGTATACAAATAGCCAAGAAGCATATGAAAAGATGTTCAACATCACAAATTACCAGGGAAATGCAAATGAAAACCAAAATGAGATATCACCTAATCCCAATTTGCATGGCCACTACAAAACACACACACACACACACACACACACACACACACACACACAGAAAACAAGTGTTGACAAGGATGTAAAAAATTAGAACCTTAGTGAACTGTTAGTGGGACTGTAAAATGGTGTAGCCACTATGGAAAACAGCATGAAGGTTCCTCAAAAAATTAAAAATAGAACTACCATATTATCCTGTAATCCAACTTCTAGATACATATCCAAAGGAATTGGAAGCAGATGTATCCATTCAACGTATGAACGGATACGGAAAATGTAGTCTAGCCATACAAATGGAATATTATTCAGACTTTAAAAGGAAGGAAATTCTGGCACATGCTACAACATAGATGAACGTTGAGGATATTATACTAAATAAAATAAGCCAGAAAAGAAAAATATTGCATGATCCCACTAATATGAATACTAAAGTAATTAAACTGATAGAAAGTAGAATGGTAGTTGCTAATAGATGGGGAAGAGGAAAAGAAGGAGTTGCTATTCAATGGGTAAAAGATTTCAGTTCTAGAGTTCGGCTGTACATAGTTAACAATATTACACAGTATACTTAAAAAGTATTAAGAGGATAAATATATGTTATGTGGTTTTTTTGCCACAATAATTTAAAAAAAGAATAAGAAGATCAAAGCTCTTACAACCCCCTCCAAAAAAATTACTAAACCCCTAAGAAAAGTGATTAAATTAAAATTTAAAAAGACAAATTTCCAAGATCAGGAATGAAAGAGGAAACATTATTACAGATCCTACATACATTAAAAGGACAATAAGAGATTCTTACTAAAAATAAAAACAGGCCGGGCGCGGTGGCTCAAGCCTGTAATCCCAGCACTTTGGGAGGCCGAGACGGGCGGATCACGAGGTCAGGAAATTGAGACCATCCTGTCTAACACAGTGAAACCCCGTCTCTACTAAAAAAAAAAAAAAAAAAAATACAAAAAGCTAGCCCGGCGAGGTGACGGGCACCTGTAGTCCCAGCTACTAAGGCAGGAGAATGGCATAAACCTGGGAGGCGGAGCTTGCAGTGAGCTGAGATCTGGCCACTGCACTCCAGCCTGGGTGACAGAGCAAGACTCCATCTCAAACAAAAAAATAAAATAAAATAAAAACGACAGGCCCCAAATTGGTGAAATGAACAAATTCCTTTAATCACAAGGTTTACCAAAACTAAAATGGTAATTTTGAATAGCCCTACATCTGTAAAGATATTAAAATTATGATTTTAAACTTTAACCAGAAGTAAAAGTTCAGGCTCACAGATAAATTCTGTCAAATACTTAAGTAGGAGAGAAGGCAGTACTTCCCAATTCATTTTATGAGGCCAACATAATCCAGACATCAAAACCTGACAAAGTCATACACTTCCTGAAAAAGTCCTTTAAAAATAATAGAAAGTCAAATACAGCAATAGGTTATAAGGATGACATGGGAACACATGAGACCCATCCAAGAAATGCAACGTTAGTTTAACTTTTTTTTGACTCAGAGTCTTGCTCTGTCGACAGGCTGGAGTGCAGTGGCGCAATCTCAGCTCACTGCAACCTCCGCCTCCTGGGTTCAAGTGATTCTTCTGCCTCAGCCTCCCAAGTAGCTGGGACTACAGGCATGTGCCACCATGCCCAGCTAATTTTTGTATTTTTAGTAGAGATGGGGTTTCACCACGTTGGCCAGGGAGGTGTCGATCTCTTGACCTAGTGATCTGCCCGCCTCGGCCTCCCAAAGTGCTGGGATTACAGGCGTGAGCCACCGTGCCCAGCCAACATTAATAGTACACGAATGTAAAGATGAAATTGGGCTTATTTGGTATAAAAATTATACAGAAAGCATTGTTAAATATGAAATCATGCTTAGCTTTCTTTGGGCTATATTTGTATAAATATGTTATTGGTATGTGTTCCAAAGTTATGGGAAACTCCTATAATTCTGATATATCTTAGTGTACATTATCAGTAATAATTATAATTGTTATGTTAAATTATTTTGTGCCACAGAGTTAACAGATTTCCTTGTCAATTGTGTCTGTAACTATGGCTACCCTAAAACTTTTTGTCATCCATAAACAATTGTTGTCTTGTTTTGGTCCTCTTTAGAAGGCAGTTTTATAAGCTGGGCACGGTGGCTCGCACCTGTAATCCCAGCACTTTGGGAGGCCGAGGTGGGCAGATCACCTGAGGTCGGGAGTTTGAGACTAACCTGACCAACATGGAGAAACCCCATCTCTACTAAAAATACAAAAAACTTTAGCTGGGTGTGGTGGCACATGCCTGTAATCCCAGCTACTCAGGAGGCTGAGGCAGGAGAATCACTTGAACCCGGGAGGAGGAGGTTGTGGTGAGCCGAGATCACACCATTGTACTCCACCCTGGGCAACAAGAGTGAAATTCCATCTCAAAAAAAGAAAAAAAGAAGGCAGTTTTATAATCAGCTGTAAAGCTCTAACAGGTGCTCTTGAATGCAGGTTTCCGATAACTTTAGAGGTTGTGACATCAGAATAGACGAAAAACGTTCAGGACTTGTGACAAGCTAAAATGTTCATTAATATCAAGCAGGACAGCAAATAACTGCATGAACTGAACTAATAGGAGCCTGGAGTGATCTTTTTGACGTTTTGCTTAAAATATTGCTAATCCTTTGTTTTGCTTTTCAGTGTCAAGGAAACTTTTCTTTTGAGCTATTAACAGCTTGTAACAAGTATATGCCTATGAACAAAATTTGGAGCATATTTGTTCCTCTCTACCTGGTTCCTTCAAAATTTGGAAACTATCTGTGAGTATTCTTAATTTATGGCAATACAGTTATTTGCATAAGTGCAATAAGAATCTGTTTTATTTTGTAACAGGACACAATTGGAAAAACTGGTTATTTTACCAAGGCTTTAACTGGAATGATGTGCTCTCCTTTAAGGAATCGAACTTCACTTATAAAGCCAATAAAGTCCTTGGAAACTGGCCTCATATTTTGTGTACACAGTCCCTGTACCGGGTTTCTGATCTGTGGTAAGTAATCACTTTCTGACAGGCCAGGAACCCCAAGTTATCTTAGAACCTCAAGAGGAGAGGCATTCACCTAACTGATAGGTATTTGATGATACAAATCCATGGCTAGGCTTGGCGTTAAAAAGTCTTATCTCAGATTCCTTCTATGAAACAAAGTTCCATCAAAGCCAATTTAAAAAGCCCACGTGAAATATAATTATTCTTCCTGCACTGTATACAAATAATTAGACCAAGTACAATGAAGAAAACCAGTCCTACCATGATTTATCTTTTAATAAAAATGGGAAACTGGAGAGAGAAAAATTATGTTTCAAAAACTATAGTACACCTGTTGTTAAATTCTAGTTTCACCTGATGTTTTTTCAGCTTTTATTATATTCTACACTTTGGATTAAATTCTAATTTTTCTGTCTACAGGTCTCCAAAATACTATTTTCAATTTTTTCCTCCTTCTTTTCCTTTTTCCCCATTTTTCCTAATTTGAAACCACTGAAACCTAAGCTGTGCCTTCTTGAAGCCCTGTGAACTGAAGACTAGACAACTTAAACTCCAGAAGAAAACAGCAGCAACCTATTGATATGTGTTGCTGTTGCATACTATTATGTTTCAGCAGGCACTGCCTCTAAGCCCCCAAAACAGAGAGTGCTACCGGGAACAAATCGAACTCTTCCACTCCAGCGCTGCGTTCGGTGCTCCGTAACAATGACCACAT